CTCTTATTTTCAATAACTAATTTAATTTTAATATCTCTTTAGAATTTAGTTTAGCAATTGCAATTTTTCTTTCGTTCTTTTTCGCCAAAAAGATCCTTGTGAGAACGATATTGGAATTTTAAATACACCCTATATTACTTGTGGCTGCGTATACTTGCGCATCTCTTGCATACTCTTTAGCAAGGCCAACACCCTTCCTCTTGGGTTGTTTAATGTATTAAATTATTTATTCCACTAAGTAGGGATCAAATCACAACTCAAAGTTTTACTTGGTCTAATTTTTATAACTTGTTATCAAACTAGGCCATGCCTTGACCCTACTTGATTTAGATACATAAAATGCTTTATTATGTAATTTTTTTCCCTACTTGCACAATTATGCTTGAATTGTACCTATTTTTCACCCACACCACAACTTATCCAATTGGTAGTTGAATAATAAGTGAATACCATAATAGGTAAAATTATTAAGTCATAATATTTAATTAAAAGGATGACTTCGTGCCAAATTGATCTTAATATAGTACTCAGCCTCAACCTCCAAATAGGTCCAAATTGTGCTAGCACTCAAGATTGGAAGCTTGAGCATATGTTTTGGTCTCTGCGTGAGTACTAACCTTACAACATAATTGAATGTACGGAGGAGAGCATGAACTTTATGGCAGCACATGAAATAAAGGAAAAGAAACATTAGATGAAATTGGAGGGGGTTGAAAGTTACCAGAATCTATATTATAAAAATATTTTTTCAAAGAATAAAAAATTTATCAAAAATGCACTCAGTATTAACAAAATTTGATATTTCTAGCTAAAAGTTGCCCCAAACTGGAGTGGGAAACATGACAAAAAAGAATGCTAAAAAATTTAGGGAAATATGTTTCTTATGTACATGATATAATTTATTTCATGCAACACACACAAAAAGTGGATAGAATCCACCTTTTCCTTTCTTTCTCTTCTTTAAAGAGAGTTCTATTCAAAAAAAAAATTTGTGTTGTATGAGACAAATTATCTCATGCAACATGAGAAAAATCAAACCCAAAAATTTATGGGAATAGATTTTCGAGCAAAAAAAATTAATTTATTACTTTTTTAAAAAAATTACGAAAATGTAGTCGTTTTGAAATTAATTACAGAAATATAGGACTCAAACACGTCTACACGAGACGTGACCCAATGAAGAGAGATACGCCCATTTGGGACGTGACCCAAGAGAGAGACACACCCAACAAGGGCGTGACCTCCATGGTCCACGCCAAAACAATGACGATGGTGATGATTCCTTTCCTGGTGCATCTCTTTGTAGTTCCCAATCAGATGAACACTAATTTTTCTTTCTTCAGTGTAGGAAATGCATGACATTGTGTTAGAATTCAAAAAAAAAAAAAAAGGAAAAAAAGGGGGCATTTCTTTGAAAATAACTACACACATCCATCTTATTTTCTTGGCCAACAATATCATATTCACAAAAAGAAACATTTTTCACCTTAGAAAATTCATTTATGTCATCAAGATCCAAAAAACTAAGATGTAAATAGGGCAAAACGCTTATCAGCTGGTCCATGCCAGATTTAGATTATTATATCAATTAAAACAGAACGAGTTAAAATCTAAAAAGCGAGTTGTGAGCTAATTGCAATTGCAATGCAGGCACTAGTTCATTGTTCTATTTTGCATCCAATTTTGCTTTCTCAAAATCACTGCAAAACACCACAACAAGAACCACAGCAATGAGCATTCAAGTGCTACGTTGACAACCAGCGTTCAAATGATGCACTGTTTCGCGAAATGGTTCACGACCTCCTTCCGGATGGTTTCATGGTGCCATGAAGTGGAGCAAATCTTCAGAGAAGTAATACTATCTCAGATCATCGTTCACGTCCAGGAAGGGCGTGTCTCGCTCATGGGTCACGCCCAAATGAGACGTGTCTCTCTTCTCTTAGGTCACGTCTAATATAGGTGTCTCTCTCTCTCTTGGTCACGCCTCATGTGGACGTGTCTCTCTTTACTGAGCCATGTCCCATGTGGACGTCTTTGAGTGCTATATTTGTGTAATTAATTTCAAAACAACTACATCTTCGTAATGTTTTATTAAAAAAACAATAAATTAATTTTTTTTTTGCCTAGATTTCCGTTTTATTCTTTTGTCTTCTACGTCAATAAAAAAAGTATTTATCACGATCTACTCACCCAACCACTTCAGCTGAGCCCAAGGAGCAATGTAGCATTATTTCACATTTTAAAAGAAAATGTAAGAAATGCAATTTGTCTATAAAAATATGTAACTACTAATTAATAAGTAGCTATCACTTACCGAGACAAGGGGGGAAAATAAAGAATAAATGATCCAGAAATCTTAAGTTCTTTAATGCTGTTTGTGAAATCAAAGCAAATGGAGTAATGTCACCGGCCCTAGCATACATATCTCATAATAACTTTTTAAATGGGAGTGAAAGATAAAAATGAGAAAAAAAAATGTAATCGGTGAAGTTTAAGATAAAGCTTCCTTATGCAGTTATACTTTCAAGTTTTATAAAAAAAAATAAAAAATTAATAAGATATTTTCATACGATCTGAAAATATTTGTTTTAATAAGGTTTTAAAATTCCTTAAAATTATTTTTTTAGACAAAAAAATAAATAATTTCAAGATGATTTTAAATATTTAGAAACAATATTACTTAACTTCGTTTATTTTCTCTTTCTTTCTTTTTTTGTCATATTACTTTGAGAGTGAATTTTCTCATGTGTTAATTAACATGACTATGTCATGTGAGACAATAGTAACTATACATGAGTGGGTTAATAGTGATAAGGGAAGAGAAAAAAAAATATAATGATAGAAAATTACACAATCATCACCGTTGATTTAATTATTAATAGTTAAAATTCTCTCACATAATATGATAATGTTAAATTATATATGAGAGCATCCGTCTCCTATTACTTCACATCTAAACTTCTTCCATTGTAACCTACTAAAAAAAATTCTCCCACTATCCAAAGTTCAAAACGATATATTTTGAAGACGTTTGGAATCTTGAAATAAATGTACTTACACAGTTACACGTGAATTTATGCTTATATGCCGCATTCTGTAAACCATAAATAACATCAAACTGATTTTATTAACACGTGACTGTAATGAATATCGTATCAGTGATTTGACCCAAGAATTTATTCTCTCTTTTTGTACAATTTAATCCTTTATTTATACTTGTTAGAACTAACTCTTATCAAAAGTCATGCTAAAATTATTGAGAAGGAATAATTTATTGGGGTTTTAGTTTTTCTTTTAATATAATAAGAAAAAATTTCTTACACACACAATATTTTGTGAGGTTTGCACTTTTTAAAGCAACAAAAAAAACTAAAGCACGCAAAACGAATCTCTATAACATTACACAATTACTTTTCCTACAACATAACTCTTATAAAATCTTAATTTATTTTAGATAAATTATTTCGACAATATTTATGGTTTCATAAAATGCATATAAGAAATTGAAACGTGTAATAACATATAGTTAAAATGTACATACCATATGAAAATATATGAATGCAACAAGGGAAAATTCGAGCCTAGTATTAGACACTGTGTCCTTAAGATAATTTTGTCCTCTCTATGGTGCCCAAGATTCATGAATAATTGTCTCTCAGGATAAAACAAATTACCTATATTTTTGTGGTGACATTTTTATATAAAATAACCTTATCGAACTCAACTTATGCCTAATGAATCGCATTAGAGTGATGGAATGCATATGCAAAGGAAAAACTCTTAGGTAGTGTTTGGTTGAAGGTTTATTTTGGGATTGATGGGAAAGTGTAAGTGAATATTGGAAAATACCACGTTTGGTTCAAGTTTTTTCAAAAAATACTAGGCAAATAGGATAGATGGAAAAATGACTTTTGTGTTGATTTTTGGATGAAATTCACTGTTACAGAATACCACTTGAGATGTGGTATTTTGAGATAACTGGGGAAGTGGAAAAACAGGTGCAAAGTTTCCTCCGAACATAGATTTTGCATATTTCAATAAATTTTCCTGGTAATATTTCGGTCAACCAAACAACTTTTTTTATATTTTCCTACCAAACTCACTTTCCAACCATTTCCCTATCAATTACATTTCCCGAGTAAAAAAAAATTTCTCCCGAACCAAACACTACCTTATTAAAATTATGATTGTCTATCTATTTATAAAAACATAATATCAGGATTGAAGCGACATTAATTCAAGAATGAAACAACACGTCCGTTAGGATGAATTAACATGTCTGTTACGATGAAGCAACACATCTGTTCTGCGATGAAACAACACATCTTTTTAAATCAAACTTCTTATTCATTATTAAAATTCTGATTGTGTGTTATCAAAAAAAAAAAAAAAAATTCTGATTGTGTATCTATTTATAAAAAACATAAGGTCAAGATTGAAACGACATTAATTAAAGGATTAAACAACACGTCTGTTATGATGAAGCAACACATCCGTTCTACGATGAAACAACACAACTTTTCAAATCAAACTTCTTATTCATAAAAGGAAAAATATTATATTTACAAATTTTTTGTTTACAAACTCTTACAAACTACACTATGTCTTATCAGTAAGACACTCTTGAATAAAATTTTACCGGTAAGACATAGTATAATTTGTAAATTTATAAAAAAATATTATCAATATAACCTTCATCGCATAAAAATAATTAGTTTAAATATTAATTCGATCACTAAAAGAATAGTAGAAAGAAGAAAGTGAACTAAGAAAGAAAGCAAAACAAACAAACAAACAGAAAAAAAAAAATTTATTTCATAATATAGCAATAGACGTTGAGATTGAACCACCGACCAAATCCAAATTACCCTTTCGGCTATTTCATGGAAACTTCGTATAATGAGGCAAAAAACAGAGAAAACTGAAGTCCTTACTCTTTCACGGACCTTCCGTGTGATGCACCCATACATACCCTTTATATTAATTATTGTTTTGATTCTTTATTGGTAAGTGCAACTTTTCATGAGCGAAATGGGCACGCCCATCTTTTTCGGATCCAAAACCACGGAGCACTCAATCTTCTTGTAGAACTTGGGCTTCACCAATTTGCCCAAAACATAAGCCCTTGACCGCACCATCAAGCTCAATGTCATGGCAACCGGCTCAACCGGTGCACCATTCATGCTGCTCAGGCTAGCTCCCCCTCCGTACAATGGTATATGACTCCCTTTCACGGTCACTCTCACGGATCTCTGACTTTTTCTTGATTGATAAAACTTAGGCAACTGCAAAAATCAAATCAAGACAAAAAATATATAATAATAATAATAATATAAAGAATTAATTAGTATACACATTAATATTGCATTACTCACTGTTCCAGTGGCAAGAGTAAGCTGATAATAATTGAGATCTAGGGGAGTTGAGGTGACGTGGACCCCGAAAAATGTAGCAGTATTGCGAAATGTCAGTTTCACAGTGGAATTCATGGACACCATGCTGGTCGCAACTCCTGACAAATCCGCACCCGCTTGAATCACAAATTCATCAAACGTTATACTCTGCCAAACCAAACAAACACACACATAAATAAATAAATAAATAAAGAAGAATAAATTAATTGAAAGTGACATTAATGTGTTTGATCAGACCTTGAGGGAAATGAGAGGTTTTTGGGGACGACTTGCACCCCACAGAATGAGAGAGAAAACAGAGAAGAGCAATGCGAAGCCAACAACAAAAGCAAGAAAATAGCAGCGACGTTGGGAGCAATGTTGTCGTGCAGCATCGTCAGCGTCGAGAAGGTTCTCTTCCTCGATAGCGTCGAACTGATTTTTCCGTGGCCTCCACGGGCCCTTGCGGTTGTTGCTCTTGCGGGATTCCGAGAAGCGAGTGGAGGCAGATTCGCGGGAATGTGGGCCCAGGGATGAGTTTGAGTGGGACCGGGGAGGGGAGCCCAATGGGCTCTGCAGTGGGCTCGAGTGGAATGAATTCGTGGTCTTCTCTCCGTCGTTTGAGGAGTCCCGTGATGGGCTCTGAACGTAGTACACTGGCCGTCGAGGGGATCTCGCCGGCGACGATTGGGTCAAACTGCTGACCTCGGAGTCGGTCTTGGCGAGGATTGACATGTCGGTGGATTTGTTTGATTCACAGAAAGATAGTGAGCTGAGGAGGAAGATTTAAAAGGATGCAGAATCTCAATAGCGTACTTGTTGGGGCAGACAGCGCCAGTGACGAATTGTTTTATTTTATTTTCTCATTCTTTACTGTTTACTATGCTTTTCCTCGTGGCACGTAATTAATTGCACAGAAAGATGGACTTTGTCAAAGCTCATAGATTATCATTTGTTTGTATAAATATATATTATCTTTACCAATAAATAAATAAATATATATTACTATATAAAATATAAGACTTACAATTAATGTCATATATCAATTATGCGTAATTTTTAAAGTCAATTATGAGTTTTTTTTTTTGCTAAACTAAAATTTTTTTTAACCAAATAAGACAGTGGGTTTATGGTTAAATTTAATTTCTTAATTTATACTATTGACTATATATATATATATATATATATATATAAAATATTTTATACTATTAAATTTAGTGTTTTATTTTATTCCTACTACAACACATATTAAGCTAGTTGAAATAATAATCATCGTACGATTTTAGTGGCATTTGGTAAAGAAGAAAAATTTTTAACCAAAAATCATGATTTATGGAAATATGATGGAAAAAATTTTTTTTCGACAATGTTATCAAAAAACTTTTGGTAGGTAAAAAATAATACCCGGAATATTGGATAAATTTCCTAATTTTTATCAACTTTTTCACCTACTTTTTTCTATTTCTCCCAGCAATCCAAGAATACCGTTCTCTGAGTGATATTTTTGGATGGAATTTTCATTCACAATTTGCACACAAAACGAGTTCAAGGTAAATCACTTTCTCGAGTAAATTTTTTGAAATGTGATATCAAAATGATCTTTTTGGAAAATCACCCTCACTTTTCTGAGTATCTAAAAAAAATTTCCCAACCAAACATCCCCTTAAGGTAATATAAGTTTCATTTATTTTTTATTTTTTCTATACCAACCATAATAATCTCTTCGAGTTGAATCGGCTCTCTGAAGGAACCAGATCTGAAGATAGAGGGAGAAAGGAGAGGGAGAAGATAACCGAATAGAGAAGAGAGAGATTTGTCCAATCTTTTCTTAATTTTCAATTCCCGCCCTTCATGGGCTACTTACACTCCACTGATTACATTCATATTTAATTCCTACTATTTTCTGAATATAAAGGCTACAAGGCTAAAACATGTTACTTAGAACTAAGCCATTCATTGGAAATAGTCAGATAAGTAATTGGGTTTTCTTATAGTGCGTTTGGGCTTCTCCTCAACTAGCTCAACAGTTTGGGGCCCAACATTCCCTTCCCCATAAGGACAAGCCTCGTCCGCGAGGTCCTTGGGCTCAGCCGAAGTGACGGTGGGAACGTTCTGGAATGGACGTGACTCAATGGCAGCCTTATCCATGTGGGTAGGGACATAAGAGATAAGAATCTCTTTAGCAGCTTCGTGATTGGCGCGTGAAGCGGTGGTGTCAGGGGAGTAATGTTGGTCATTAATATTGCTCGGTTGTCTCTTCGTTGGTTCAAACGTTGGGTGAGCCAAATCTGAGACCTTTGGGAGAGAAAAAGAGAGCACATTGGAGGAATCTTCACAGGTTGATTCCTCCGGTGACAAACCGCGTCACAACACCAACACTTCGGGAACCTGTCGTCCTTGTCGTTGAATGGTGCGCTGAGAAACGATAGCAGCTGGGGTGTGTACGAGGCCAACACATTGGGTTTATAGGTCCAAGTCATGAATCTTGTACCGTCCGGTGGAGAAGAAGGGGCGTAGCAACGAAACATGGAAAACAAGGTGTATGTGTAAGCTTGGAGGAAGCTGGAGTCGGTAAGCAACACTACCAACCCTTTCCAAAACTTAAAACGGGACATAAAAACGCAAACTCGATTTATGAGAGGAGGGCCGGTGTACTGAAATCTGTCAGAACGGTTGAAGGCGAAGCAACACCCGATCTCCTACATTAAAGGTAATGTCTTTACGCTTGCGGTCAGCTTGAGATTTCATGCAAGATTGTGCCTTTCTTAAGTTTTGTGTTAATGATACGAGGATGGTGGAGCGATGCTGTAGATCTGAATCGATAGCTTGAATCTTCGTGGTACCCAGAGTGTACTCAAGTAGACATGGGGGTTGCCTCCCATATGTAGCCTGGAAGGGAGTTGTCCCTGTGGAGCGATTATAGGACGTGTTGAAATGAAACTCAGCCCAGCTCAGGAAACGGAACCATGTGGAGGGGTTGTCAAGAACAAAGCAACGTAAGTATTGCTTCAAACTACGATTTACCCTTTCTGTTTGTCCGTCGAATTGTGGGTGATACGTTGAGCTGTAATGTAATGCTGTTCCATGCAAGGTAAAAAGTGTCTTCCAAAACTCACTGAGGAAAATGGGGTCCCGGTCGCTGACCATGGACTTTGGGGGGCCGTGTAATTTACCCACCGTGTCCCAAAATACTTGCGCAACCTTCGCAGCTGAATACTTGGGTGGAAGAGCTGCAAAATGTGCTCCTTTGGTCAGTCTATCAACGACTACTAGAATACATGTAAACCCTGCCGACGAAGGAAGATGGGTGATGAAATCCATCGAGAGATCTGACCAAATGAAAGTAGGTATGGATAATGGTTGTAAAAGGCCATATGGTGGATGATTAGGTGCTTTGGTTTTCTGGCAAACTTCACAGTTCTGAACAAATTGGTGAACATCCTTTTTTACATTTTTGCAGGTAAACTTGGCACTCAACCGCAATAAGGTCCTGCGAACTCCGGAATGACCCCCAACCCTGGATGTATAGAAGTCGTGAAGCAAGATAGGAATCAGGGATGATGCTTCAGGAATATACAAAAGCTGCCTGTGGAACAAGCCGTTGTGGGTTTGTTAATGAGGCCACTTTGAAGGAGTATTTTGTATATCCTGTAAAATTTGTTTCGCATATGTATCTCCCTGTAGCTCGGACTGTATAATAGTGCCATAGTTTGAAGTTGGAGTATTGATGATCATAAGTTCTGGAGAAGGATCTGGGGATTCCTTCTCAGGTTGACGTGATAGGGCGTCGGCCACCGTGTTCACTTTGCCCGGTTTATACTGGATGGAATAGTTGAACCCTAGCAATTTTGAGAGAAATTGTTGCTGTTCTGGTGTTTGAATCACCTGGGAAATTAAATGATGTAGACTTTTTTGATCCGTCCGAATAATAAAAAATGAACCCAATAAGTATTGCCTCCACTTTGCTATGGCAGTAGTGATGGCGTACATCTCTCTGAAATAGGTAGATTTCGATTGCATGAGCTTGGAGAGATTTCGGCTGAAAAATGCAATAGGATGGTTATCTTGTAGTAAAACTACTCTTACACCTACTCCGGAGGCGTCTGTTTCCAAGATAAACGGTAGGGTAAAATTTGGTAGGGTTAGAACTGGGGCAGTAGTAATTAGATGCTCTAGTAATTGAAAAGCTTGAGTAGCTCCAGTAGACCAAGCAAATGCGTCTTTAGACAATAGGTCAGTCAATGGTGCAGCGACCATGGCATAGCCCTTAATGAAGCGGCGATAGTAACCTGCTAAGCCAAAATAGGATCTTAACTGAGTGACTGTTTGGGGAATGGGCAACTCTTTTATAGCCTAGACTTTAGACGGATCAGGTGACACACCTGCAGAGGAAATAATGTGACCCAAAAATTGAATTTCCTGCACAACAAACACACATTTTGTTAATTTAGCAAAGAATTTGTGTTGTCTGAGGATTTGAAGTACTTGGATCAAATGGTCCTCCTGCTCCTGTAGGGAAGGGTTGTAAATTAGGATGTCATCGAAAAAGATGACCACAAATTGCCTTAAAAAGCCCATGAACACGTGATTCATCGTGGCTTGGAAGGTGGAAGGAGCGTTTGGTAACCCAAAGGGCATAACCAAGAACTCAAAATGCCCACTGTGTGTTCTGAAAGTTGTCTTGTGTACATCCTCAGGTGCCATTTTAATCTGGTGGTACCCTGATCTCAGGTCTAACTTAGAGAATATTTGTGCCCCATGTAATTCATCTAATAATTCATCCACTGTGGGAATTGGCAACTTATCTGGTATAGTGATAGCATTGAGTGCGCAGTAATCAACACAAAAATGCCAGGTGCCATCCTTCTTGCGTATCAATAGTATAGGGGAACTAAAAGGTGACTGACTAGGTTGAATCAATCCCCCTTCCAACATTTCTTTGACCATTTTCTCAATTTCCATTTTCTGGAAATGTGGGTATCTATAAGGTCGCACTTGTATTGGTTTGGAAGTAGGGTTAAGGTTAATGTGGTGGTTAGAGGGTCTATCAGGTGGTGAGGACGTAGGGTTCTGGAATATATCTTGAAATTAGTCTAAAATGGATTGTATTGATGATGGAGTTTGGGGAGCTGTTGTTGGAACGGTGTGTGTGGAGTCGTTACTGGTGAGGCACATAAAACAGGATGAAAATGAGTTTTGTGTCATAAGTTTGTGTAATTGGGCATTAGTGATGAAAACTGGTGAGGATGTACTGTCCCCCTAAAGAAGTACTGTAGATCCATTATAATTGAAGGACATGGTCATTTAAGAGTAGTCTGTGACATAGGACCCAATGTAGCAAGCCATTGCACCCCTAAAACCACGTCAGCTCCCTTAAGATCTAGAATAAACAACTCAACAGTGAAGTAATTGGACTGTAAATTCAATGGCACCTGAACACAAGAAGCAGAACAGTGCAGCGTATCCCCATTGCCCACATGGACTTGGAATGGCAGAACCTGTTGCATTGTCAAGTTTAGAAACGAAGCCATGCGTTCGGTAATAAAGTTGTGTATGCTACCTCCATCCACCAAAATCTGTAATGGCTTTTCAGTGATTGTCTAAGACGGAAGGATCTGGTACTATGGTGACCAAACAGAGCATTCAAACTGATTTCTAGAGGTACTGAAATATTTTTGGGGTCGTCAGTAAGAGGTTCTATATCTGGGCCTGGATCATCCTCTGTCCTTTCTAAGTATAGTAGTG